TCCATCAAGTGGAAAGAAACACAACTGCTGGACAGGCCAATATATTATATTATTATATATTAGCCCATTGCAGATCTATAGGTATCGGTGTATATGTCAGAAGAAAGAAGCGTCACCATTCTATGGTTTGTCCACCAGAGACAACCATATTTTTCAACAATAAAATGTCCAACATAGTATTGGTCGAAATTGTAGAGAAAACAAATTTAAGGGAATCTTATCAAAAATGTTAATTTATGTTAGGTGTTGTGTAAAGAAAATTAATATATCTGCTGATATATCATTATTAGATTTATTTTAAACTCTCAAATATCGACATTGGCTTCAAATATCTTGTATCGATCAGGCTTTAGCAAATGTATAGGTTTCTGCTGTGTTTGTGTGGGTAATAGAAAGCACTAACCAAAGCAGGATTACAAAGCAATACTGAAAAATGGCATCAAAAAGACTACAAAAATACTCCTACGTGTTATTTTAAAAGGACGAGAGAGGGATCATACACAGTGTAGGATAAAGTATAGTGTGCAGAATTTCCATTAAATGAACTGTGATAGCCATCATCAACACCTCCTACGCTCTGACGTCTAATTACAGATTTCATTATTATTTCTCTCGGCCTCTGTTGCGTTCATGCATCAGTTGCCAGGAAGACAAATTATCACACTTACAGCTGGAGACACATTTGAAGATTTAGCAGCAAACTGACCTTTAAAACTCAGACATTGTTCCTTGTAAAAACAAATGGACCCATCTCCATTTGCAGAGTGATTTATAAAACAGACATTTTTGCATAATGCCTGCCAGTGCGGGCAACTTACAGCAGCTTATGCAGTGGCTGAACTAACAATTTCTCAGCCCTGTGAGCAAGTGAGCAGCATACAAAATCTGTATCAGCTGTCAGCGAGTGTATCCAGAAGCAACGGCAATCTTTGTGTCTGCGTCTCCCGAGGTCTGTAAAGATTCACTGCTAGTCAACAAAACAGCGAGCCCTCATCTCTGACCTCTTTTCCTTTCAAAATGTCAACGACAATAACTCACTGGTATGTCGCAGGAGCTCATACTCCAGCCAGGTTATTCTCTCTGTCTCTCTAGTGGTTCAGGTAATCAGCAAAACCAAAACACACAGTACAGTGACATGGCAAAGTATATATGTGTGCGTGTGTGTGCTATAATCATAACACAATAGCAGCTTTGACCGCAGCATGTAGCGATGTTCTTGAGTCTAGTGGGACTGATTTAATCGGTGTAAAAGGAATGTTAGCTCTATGAATGTCATGTTACGAATTCGTGGCTGCAAACGGCTTGTCAATCACACACACACAAAAACACAAACATGCTCACATGCCTGTATTACACACACACACACACACACACACACACACTCCTTCAGAGTGCACACAAGCTCCATTGTGAATGAAAGTGCAAGCATGCCTTCCTGTGTCTTTTACTGTGCGTGTGCGTGTGTGTGTGTGTGTGTGTCAGCAAATGCATAGAGTGACGAGTCTCCCCAGTTAACAGGTAAATGAAATGGAAAGGGACTGTGCCTCCCTCAGCAGAAGTGAGGATTCAGGTTTTGGTGTGTTTCTGTCTGTAGCAGCGCGAATGGACTTCTGTTTTTGGGGTTTTCTGTAAACCCTCCACAATAAAACCACAAAATCAGATATCCATCATATCATGTGACACCTGCTCTTATTGAATGGCATATATTGTGATGCTTTTTAAAGGCAAGGCAGCAGGTAACTTGGGACCATAGTTCTTCATTGCTGGTGGTTGTTTCTAAGACAAACGCATGCTGAAGATATTGAGTTTGACTGAATGAGAACATGCACAAGGTTTACGAGCAGTGATTGACGCTTCGTTATAGACCCCTCCTGGCTCTGATTGGTTCTTTTGACCCGGGAGCGGTGGATTTTTGCAAGTGGCATTAGGAGCAGTAGGAGGAGCCAGAGTAACCTGTTTTTTTGTTTGTTTTTTGTTTTTTACATATTATCTGTCTCATGTACTAATGTCAGGACATAATGACAGTTTTATTAAATGCGACAAAAAGCTATTAAATATAAAATATATAAATAAAATTCCCTACTGCTAATAATAAGTCCCAAAGTGTAAGAAAGAGTAACAAAATGGCAATCACAAATTTCCAGGGCCTAAGTAGGCATCTTTAAACAGCTTGTTTTGTCCCGCCAACATCCAAAACTAAAAGACATTTAAAGAATTATTCGGAAAATATGCTTATTTACTTTCTTGCTGAGAGATGGATGAAAAGATCAGTACCACTCATGTCTGTAGCTTCAGCCAGCAGCCTAATTTAGCATAAAGACAGGGAGCTAGCGGAAACAGCTAGCCTGTCTCTGTTAAAGGTACCAAAATTCACCTAGCAGTATGGTTTAAATTACGGGGGGATTGGGGAGGTCTGACCGCACTAGTTAAGGCTTGGACCCCCCCCAAAAGAGGCAAAACCAACAGTTCAGGGGGGTCTTTCTTACCTGTATTTGTAAATATTACAATTTATTTCCCGTACTCATGCCTTATATTCAAGAATCTTGAAATACGATTTCAGACACCCCTAAAATGTACCGTACCATTTCCTAACATCGACGTTAGTTGAACATCTTGTCTGTCTGTCTGTCTGCATCACTCACAGCGCAGCTGCTCCATTCCGGTGCATTACACGCTAATGGAGACACAGCAGGTTAATGTCAGTAGTTAACTATCTAGCTGCTTTAATACACTTAACTTTCCTACCTTCAGAGATTCATAATTAGCATTTATTTTACTTAAAATGAGCGATCTGATGTTAGCTAGCTGAGAGCCCACCCTATCATTTCATTATAATTATTTCATATTTTATGTGGGCCTAATTGTCAGGTAATACTGGTGTTTAGGCATGAGCAGTGAAATTGGGGATTAGTTGTTGTAGAGATACATTATTACATCAATATAGAGTTTATTATTTCATTTGAAGTCTTTTGTGAGTCCTTTCACAATAAACATGGCATTTGTTTTAACTCTGGAATTCCCCAAAATTCCCAATTCCCCAGCAACAGTGTTTGTCAGACGACTGCTTTATTGGACGAAGATTACATCATTCACAGTCCACATGAGCAAGAGGAAAGAAGATATTTGCTAAAAAAGAGCAAGTTGAAACTTTAAACTTGATGAGAATGATAAAAATTAGGAATTAGAGATAATGTAGACTGTATTTTATGTGTCTTTAGTTCTGTATCAACACAGTGTAGGTTTGTTTTGAGCGGTCATGATGGTCTGCTGTTGTGTGTCTGACTTGCTGGCAGTTTTCCTCTAGAATGCTTGGTAACCTACAAAAGTTGTCATCTGGTACGGAGCACCCATGAATTGGTGTAATAAATTTGATTTATCATCATCTACAGACTGATGACACTAGTTAAATAGGCAAGGATATTGTAAGCATTGTAAGATTTTAGTTCACTGAAGCCCGCGTCTGTGCTGTACTGGGTTTTCTTTTGGACCTGGAAAAAAAGTTGACCCCCCGGTTGTCACTGTATAATTCACACCCTGCCTAGCAGTATCTCTAAAACTCATAAATGGACATGTTATAAGTGTTTGTTTTATCTCCAAAAACCAAAGTGTAAAAATTACACATTTGGGTTTTACAGGCAATAAGCATATTTCTCAAAATGTCAAACTATTCCTTTAAATTTACAAAGCAGAGAGGAGCAGCAAATCCCCATAATAAAGAAGCTAGAATCTAGCAAGAATGTCTGGAATCTTTGCTTGAAAAATGGCTCAAATGATTAATCAATTATCAAAATAGTGAATAGCAATTACTTTTTTGGTGATCCACTAATCAGTGAATTGACTAATAATTTAATCTCTATTGTGACAGCTTTTCTTATGCCTCCTTGTGTAGGATGATGTCACTATCAAATCACGATATCAAATGTCAAATCTCAATCACTGTACACTTGTTTTTCCAGTGACACTGCAGGTAATGCTGACTGTTAACGAAGTATAACTAAAGGCTAATTGTGAGAGTAGAGAGTATGTGGGTCGGATTTCCCAAAGGAAATCCATGTTGTTTAGCATTAATATAAAGTAGCTATTAAACAGTAATCCTGTTGCAAACTGAATTCCCTGAAGCCCTATCAGGCAGAGCATATAGTCCTGCCGTCTGTATTTTTGTTCACCTGCCCAGGGACTTGGGAAGAAAACAAGCTTTTATCTATATCTCTGCATAATGCACCAGATTTCAAGTATTGCAATTCATGTTTATTATGCAGGGTCCCTGTCAAATAAACTTGTAAATGAAAATAATAGGTTTGAATAATGTTGTGTGACTTTAAATCTTCCGATACCCAATAAGAGGAGAGCAAACTAACTAGTGCAATGATATTATGATAAATTGATATACTTAGAGTTCTCCGATTGATCAGTAGCTCAGGAAAGAGATATGGATTTCTACAAATGTAAAATAAAATCATCACACTGTAAATGTTGCCTTGAAACAAGCCACACTGTCACACAATGGTCCGATAATAAAGCTTTCATATGTACCAGGAGTGTCAATGAGCTGGCGTATTATAATATTCCATATTTTTATAATATGCAAACAGTGCAGTTCTCTATCCCGACCCCATAGAAACACCAATCGTTGCACTGCCACCATGGTAACTGGATTAACGAGCGGCGGTGCAGTTACTATGGGATGTCGAGATGATAAATGACAGTCTGTCTGGCACCAAATCTGTCTCCTAATCTCAGCTGGAAAACAAAGGACATGGCTGGGAGACAGCTGAGATGAATGAATGTGTGAGTGAATGAAAGTGTATGCGGCTGTGGGCTGTGTATATGTGTATGTTGGGGGGGGGGGGCAGAAGAGGATCTGAGGACAACATAGGTCAACACCACTGAGCTAATAGAAAGACATGGTGATTTAGAAAAACAGATAGATGCACAAACAAGCGGAAGAAACTCTCTCTTTCACACACTCACACGTACAAACTAACACTATAGTCTCTCACCTTGTCAGGTGCTTGGCTCTGGAGGCTGCCAACATCCAGTGGAGTGATGAGGGGCACATTCTGAAAGCCGTCCTCCACGCTCACAGGTTTGGCTCCTTTGTCTTGAAGATTACTTCCCAGTTTCACCATCTTTCACTGCCCTTAAACAGTCCCTTATTTCCCTGAAGACTGCTCCTGAATAGGGGAGGTGTTGGAAAAGGATGGTTTTACCTTGCAGCATTTCAGGTCAATGAAACCTGGCTGGCCTGGCTATTTAAAGAAGATTCAAGTATGACAGGAAACTAAATGAGATTTTGACTTGACTGTTGCCTTTAGGTAGCTACACAATAAATGTGAATACATGGTATCAAGGGTTGTTGAGAGAATCCATGCTCCGATTTTCATGTCTCAACAACAAAACAGTAATTTGATAAAGTGTTCATATTTATTGTGCACTTTAGTGAATGATTAAAAAAAGAGCAAAACACAAAAAGCTATCTAATCTTGTTTGGAAAATGTAAACATATCTCGGACTTAAAACCAAACAGAATCGTCCCCAGCTTTCTTTATCACAAAACAAAAACAACTAAAATGTATGCAGCTGTAAAAAGCTGAAAAAGCAGTTACTTACAGCGGATCGTCCTTGTCCGTCCGTTTACTCTGTGCTGCTGCAGTGTTTCTGTCTGGACGGAGGCGGAGGGAAGCGCAGATGAGGAGCAGGTGAGACTGGAGGCTGCGCTGCGGTGTCGCTGCTGCTGATGCTGCGGGAAAGCAACGCTGCACCGCCGGAGACAAACTGGATGTCTGGCGGCAGGTTTCCTACCAGCAGGCAGCCCAACCCTCTAATCCAAATCCACAGCCTCTTCTTCACCGCGCTGCTACACTCAGCCGCAGGAGATGCCACTAGGGGGATTCTTTTTTTTTTTTATCCTTTCGGGAGTCTCGTTTGTTTGGCTCAAGTGGAAGTCGAATTAATGTTGCACTTCAGGGCTGCTCGTAAACTCCTGCACCCGAGCTTAGTTTTTATCTGAATAATAATAATAAGTATTTATATAAAGATAAATGATTTAGTCAAAGTATGTCTTGTTGCAGATTCATTTTTTGTTCTGATAAATAAATTAGGGCATATATATGCATGTATCTTGCGACCGCTCAAATTTGACAGTTTAAAGGTAACTAGAATTTAAAAAAAAAAAACAAATAACACTATTATTTTATTTTCAAACAATTATTAATTGAATTAATTATACGTTCTAAATGACACAGCCCAAAAGCCCAGCATGCATAGAAAATCCAGTCTTTCCCATCTGTAAATTTGAAGAGAGCAAACCCCCTCGGATAACAAATTAGATTAATATCAATATTTCCCACAGTATTTGAAAGCAGCATAAACCATGAACCATCAAATTGGTTCTTTTGGTCCCACAGTGCCATCTGGTGGTTTAATGAGTGACACACAGCCAGGTTTGAGAGGAGCTGATGTCTAAAACTACATCAATAATCAGGCTTTAAACCACTTGAGGTGTGTGTTTGTGTGGGAAACAGAGGGAAGTTTATTCGAGAAAGGATGTGAAGTTCTTAGTGGTTAGGCAAATTTGTCAGATGAATAAATTCATCATCCATAAAAGCGAATGAGACACGCCCAAATAATATAAATAAGAATCAAAGAGGCAAATAAATGCAACATTGCAAAAAATAAATCAAATCAAATGCAATCAAAAATCTAAATAAATTAAAAAAAGAATACAGTAGGAGCAAGAATGATTTAATCAGGTGGGCCAGTCTTGTAGTTTATACCGTAACAGAGAGGACTGCTGAACACCCTGAAAAGAGTTGCTGGATTTTAAACTCACCAGGCATTATCCGATGAAGGTTAAAGTCAAGGGCAACTGGACTTGGTTGAAGATACTAGAAGATGTTTCGTCACTCATCCAAAGACTTCTTCAGTTCTGAAATGACCAGTTGGGAAACTCAGCTATTTAACCTCTGTGGGGTCGTTTGCCAAGATCATTGGTACCGCCGCTCGTTAGTGCTAATGGCTGTTGTAAAGACAATTATGGTCGTTAGAGCCACTAGTAGCCAAGTCTGAACGACCATCGTTGGTATCTTCACCTGAGGCAAACGACCCCACAGAGGTTAAATAGCTGAGATTCCCTACTGGTCAATTCAGAACTGAAGAAGTCTGTTGGATGAGTGACGAAATGTGTTCTAGTATATTCAACCAAGTCCAGTTGCCCTCGACTTTAACCTTCTTTGGATAACTATGACCTGGATGACTGAGAACATTCACAGACATCACCAGGTGTTCTATCTCTCTGTCATCTGACTTGATCTCTCTTAATCAGACATTTAACATAAGTACCGGGGCAAAGAAAAATCTTTGTCTCTCTTTTCTTCTCTGTCTTTGTAATAATATATAATGACTGCCAAGGGCTTCCCTACACATCATCATGTTTCTGCAGTAACATTTATGATTAATTCTCAACGGCTATTAATGGATTCGTTCAAGGCCCTTCCAACCCCAGGCCTGATTACCAGCAATGCTAAATGTGCTTAGCATGTGCACATCTCTTCTTTCCTGCACCTGAACCACCACTTTATCTTCCACAAGAGAGTTATCATGTACCTCCGCTGGCCCCCATCCACTGGTGTCCAAGCATGACCTCCTGGAGGTTATGAAGTCTGCTGCCAGCAGCTGCTGCCTCCTGGCCCTTCATCCTGAGCCAAGCGATTATTTGACAGAGACTACAGAGTGGTAGCTACAGAGAAGCCCATCCTGTCCCTCCCTGGGTTGATGAGTTATGGTAATTTGCCAGAGCCCGTGCAGGTCAATCTCTGTATGAGTGACGGACTACACCATGACATCCTTCCAAATGACTACATGTTGGCCATCCATCTCATCTGATCTATCTCAAAGTATGGAACCTAACCGTTCACTGATGAAGCACAAAGAAAATCGGACAGCTTCCTGGCAGCCCGATAGGCAGTGGTAATTAAGGACAGGGTGCTCTTCAGTTTCATCCTCCAAGACATGCAGGTAATCCCTCTGTCTCAGCCAAGGACATTCATTGTATGTTCTGCAGAGCAAGACTGATTACTGTTTTCAATGTGTTTTGCCACTGCCCTAGCTACTCTTAAGTGTTTAGAAAGTTTGGCTAGACATGACCACCCTTCAACCTGTTGTGATTGGTGCTTACCCTGTTGTTGTCTGTGGCTAAAGAGAGTTGCTCAAATGTGGCACATTGCTCTATGTCATATGTCAACATCAGGATCTGTGCTTGCTTTAATGCCCTTATATGTTCAGGAAGTTGCTCCTTTTCGGCTCTTGGAGAATTGACTATAAGCAGAACACAAGACGTTGAATTTTTAAGCACAGCATTATCTGCCATTGTGAGAATCTTAAAGCTTCAGCCTGCATTAAACAGCATTCTCTGGTTGTTTTGCACTATATGGTAATGCAGCGGATTTACTTAATTTGATTTCTTGACACAATCTGACAAGCTTGTTTGCTTATGAAAATTGTGCTTATGTCTTGCTGATTTGTAACCTTTAAGTAGATATTAGTGAGATGTTCTATCTTGTGGTTGCAGTGTCATGGTTGCATTCATATTAGTGGGCCAAGAGAAGATCCGTATTCTGTTAATCCAGTATCCATCCTGATTGTTACCCATTCATTCCTGTCTTTCTTTTTAAAGGAACCACTATGTTATCTCACCTGGAAAGGCAGGATGCACCTTATTATTCTATCTCAAAGCTTTGTCATATGGCCTACACTTCATGCCAGAAGTGACATCTTCTCAGTTTTTGAAAGAAAATTGTTCTCTTCTGTAGCTGCTAAATTAAATATACCATTGCCAGCAAACTGATGTTTCAATGAGTGATGTCACACTTAACAGTGCAAGATGTAACCAGCTGGTGGTGTTAGTGAGCTGTCAATCAGTTGGTTCAGTTTTACCTGGAATTTGAGAAAACAAAACACCTGACCCCTTCAGCACTCCTGCTTTAATTGGCATATAGCATGTCTGATATACTGTAGTTTTGTAGAAATCCTCCATGTAACTAGAAGGGGAGAAAGTCACAGCTGAGGGGTATGAGCTACAAGCTCAGCCAAACAAATTTAAACAGATGATAATCTGACCCAAGTCTGCTGAACATACTGGTATCCAATCAAACAAACTTATTAAGTCAAGACCATTTTATTTATACTGCCCAATATCACATCATAAATTTGCCTTAGAGGGCCTTCACAATCTGTACAGCATAGGACAACCTCTATATCCTTAGACCCAAAATTCAATTCAAGTCCATTAAAGAGTCAATCCATCTTAAAGCATGCAGCCAGTGGTGTTATTTCTTTGTTGGCTGGCAAAGACTGTAGCTGTTTTTGCAAGTGCATTTGCAACCTATGTTAGGATACCAGACTAATAATATACAGAAACCTACTTACAAAAGGGGCCAGAATGTGAAAATGCTTGCTAACCTATAGCCAAATGCTACATAGAGTATACAAACTAAAATGAACATAACAACAATCACCTCCTCGGATCTAGCTTAGCTGACTCTCAACAACTTTCTAACTGATGGTATAATAAATTGTCTCAAAAAATTGTATTTAGTGTTAAAGAGCAACTTCACCAGCTGAAAATCTTAGTTTTGCCGACCTTCACTGGTTTAACTTCTTGTAGCGCTGCAGTGATGTATAGTGTACTGTTGAGTGCGGTCAGTACATCATGGCATTATCGCTGTGTGGTCAAAGGTACAAAGCAGTGAAACACCATTTCTTAGCCTGCCGTTAAGTTATCAAACATCTGCATCAAAGACAGTTTTAAACAAGCAGTTACGGTTGGAGGCTCTAATGGTAACCTGCTCTACTTGTGCTTTTAAAGGCCAAACATGTATATTTGACTACTCCACTTCAAAGCATGACAACATTGAAAATGTTGCTCATACACATGTTGATAAATACAGCAGGGTCATCTGGTAGTTAGTAAGACTATCCCATAACAGCTTTAAATATCCAAGACTTAACATAAATAAGCACACCAAGCACATATTTTCATCACAGTTAAGATTTATTTCATTCAACATTTCACATTACAAATATTTAAAAATTATGCATACTGTTATAAATAGTTGGCTGCAAACAATTAAATAACATTAGATTTTATCTTTTTCGTTTCACTAGCACTTCTACAGACCAACTCCTAGAAATATGGACATATCCGTATTACATAACTTAATTAGAAAGGAAAATACAAAAATAGGAACTTATAAAGTGAAATGACAATAAAAATTAAGGTGATATCTTAAGTAAAAAAATGCTATTAATAAATACAACAACCTTCCCATACACAGTTAAAAACTATTGAAATCTTGCCATTAAGTAACATCATTAACAGACAAATATTTAAATATTTATTTTCCTTCAGAAAATGTGAACCATATATTGTGGAGCACAATATAGCAATTAGTAAAAACTAGACACTTTAACATATTAAAAGCTTCACCTCAAAAATATAACAAAAATCTGATCAAAATTATAAAAATCAATTATACATTCCAATTAAAAATATACCAATAAACAGCTAAATACATTGTTGACCTAATAATTACAATGCAATCAATCACAGTAGCTTAAAATAAACAAAATAAGCAAATGAGCACAAAACCTTTAATGTTTTAAAAATAACTTCAATTATTTATATTAGTACAAATAGTTTGATTTCTTTTCTTTTTTACAAACACCAGCATGAAAAGGATTACAATAACAGTAGAAAATGACTGTGAAAAACATATTAACATCTTCTTTAATTAAATGTCTGCAATTAAAAATGGCATTAAAGAATTACATTGCAAAGAGTCTTTATCTGGAAAAAGGTTCAAAAGAAGTATTGCACATAACAACTTGAAGTTAACTTGCAACATTTACCACATTCAAGTCTTTAAGCTCCCCTTCCTCCAGATAGGTCTA